CAGCCTTGCATTCCCTCGCGCAAGCATCAAGCACAACTACGCTTCGGACATAGACCCCGCTTGCAGGCCGGTTTCCTCCCCAACCCTAAACCCTGAACCCTAAACCCTGAACCCCTGAACCCTGAACCCTGAACCCCTAAACCCTAAACCCTGAACCCTGAACCCCTAAACCCTAAACCCTAAACCCCTGAACCCTGAACCCTAAACCCTGAACCCTCAATCCCAGAACCCCTGAACCCTAAACCCCTCAACCCCTGAACCCCTGACCTAAACCCTGAACCCTAAACCCCTGAACCCCTGAACCCTGAACGCCTAAACCCTAAACCCCTGAACCCTGAACCCTAAACCCTGAACCCCTGAGCCCCTGAGCCCTAAACCCAAAACCCGCCTAAACCCTAAACCCCTGAACCCTAAACCCTAAACCCCTGAACCCCTGAACCCCTGAAACTATTCCGCTTTTCAGGACAAGGCGGACAAGGCCGCCAAGCTGCTGCAGATGATGGAGGCAAGGGCGTATCTCGAAGATCAGGTTTCGGATACCTGGGTTTAGCGATCGGGTTTAGGGTTTAGGGTTTATGGTTTAGGGTTGAGGGTTTAGGGTTTAGGGTGGGTTTAGGGTGGGTTTAGGGTGGGTTTAGGGTTTAGGGTTTAGCCGGGAAGACACAAATCTGTTTTGAGTTATGGCCCAGTTATGGCTTCCTTAATAAAGCAAAACAAGCCTTGCGGTCATACTTGGTTCTGGCTGTCTTTGGAACCCTGAGGCCCCAAAGAGCAGTATTGATAATCTTAGTTCTCCAATACCCAACCTTTTAAACTTTCTGGGTTCTTATAACTCTTTGGGTTCTTATAACTTTTTGGGTTCTTATAACTTTTTGGGTTCTTATAACTTTTTGGGTTCTTATAACTTTTTGGGTTCTTATAACTTAATAGTAATCTGGAAGTTATTTAATCTGGCTTATTGGGGAAGCAAGTAATGGTTCACGCTCCTACAGTGACAAGTGCTTTGTCTGCACTGCCCCCGGAGACCCGACGGCTCCGACATCCCAAAACCCAAAACCCTAAAC